GAAGAGCCGAAAAGAGGTGCAAAAGCATTCACAGGGCCAAGGGGAGGGCTCCAGGCTATTTCCTGCAATCCTCCTGAATAGTTCTTCCTCCTGGGCTGGTCGTTGTGGGGCTGTGGGTTATTTGAGTTTGCCCTGTTAGTCTGTTAGTACTATGGCTGCTGCCAAATGTAGACATAATCATGTAATAGATTACAATGTAATCTGTATTACTGACTGGTAGTGTGTTGGCTTCTTTGTCCCTAGGAACAATGAGAATTTGGTATAAAACCCAAAAACCAAACCTACTGCCATCAAGTTGATTCCAACTCATAGTGACCCATAGAGTTTCCAAGGCTGTACATTTTTACAGAAGTAGATTGCCTCGTCTTCCTCCCGCAGAGCAGCTGGTGAGTTTGAACCGCCAACCTTCTGGTTGGCATACAAATGCCTTAACCACTGTGCCACCAGAGCTCCTCAGAATTTGGTACAGGCCTTTCTAAAAGAACCAAAAAGTCCGAAATCAATGCATTTTTATCACTTTGGGCTATAAGCAACCGCTCCTTAAACTTTTTTAAATATAATAATGTTTTTTAAAAGTTCTAATCACAGTGCTTGTTTAAAAATCAAAGCAGGGACTAAAAATGAAGGTGTGAATCTGAGTGTTTGGCTGGGACCTTAATCATATAGTCTCCTTCCTTCTCAGGTATCCTGGGAACCAGAGGCGAAAGATTCAAGCCCAGTACCCGATTTAATTCTGGCAAACTGACACATTCTGCTGACACTCAGTCACAGACTTGCATTTATGGGATGCCCACTGAAAACACGAAGCTGAGCTGAGGAAAACCAAACATTAGGTGACCAGTCACGATCAGGAAAGGGTTAATCATAATGATAGCTAAAAGAGGTGAACTGTGCTAGGGACTCAGCTGGCTTCATCAAAAATTTCTCTTTATTTTCAGATTCAGTTTGCTTTGCTTGGGACAGGTCTCCGTGAATACAAGTGTGTATGGGGAAAGCAAAGCATGCATTTCTTCCTGCCTGATACTGTTGACAAAAACATGCCCTTTACATACGGCAAATCATGAGATGTTAAAACCCAGAGACAGATGACAGGAGGGGGCCTTCTAGGTCAAATGTCCAAGCTAAGGTTGCAGGAACAAGAGCCACTGGTGAGCTTTTCCTTACCGCAAGAGCCCCACCTGGTCCCAGGCCATATGATCTGAGTTGCTAAAATGTTACATGGAGAGGAGTGCTAGTCTAAGCAGTGTAATAGTACTTTTTGTGGGGCTTTTTCAAACTTTAACTCCAAGGTTCTCTCCCACCTACTTCCCATTAAGGTGGATTCAAAGCCAGGGAAAGTATCCATAGCTTGCAAAGCTTTGTACATCAGAGATTCAAAAGATAATTTAGAACTGGGGAGGGACTTCTATTTGGCCTTGCTCCTATACTAAAACCTAGAAATAAATCATATTCTGCTATTTGACTCATGATCAAAAAAAAAAGTGTCAAAAGTATAGCAAGGCAGTTCTGTTGTGCAGGAGGCAGGCATTTGGAGAGATAGGTTTTCTGACAGAAAATAAAATCCTGAAGTTGGTTTTAGCAAACCAAGTGGGAGTCCTATGAGACTCTGACTGGGCCTCTGATGGCCAGGGCTGTGTCCCTGGTGGGCCAAGTTCCTTCCAGTGTGCCTGGGAAGCAAAGTGGAGGATTACCCTTGGGAAGCATCACTGTCATTCATTTTAAGCTGCTTTCAGCCACTATCTGGCTGAGGAGTGGATAAAATGCCTGTGCATCCACTGTTGACAGAGGGATGCCATAGCAGGTAATCATAGCTGTGCCCACTGTTCTGACTCAGGGCACTAGAGCACTGCCCCCACACCTCTCATGACAAACAGTCTCTGTGAGGTAGGAGGACTATCATTTCCAGCTGAAACAGTGTGCACAAGAAGACCTGATGAACATCTGGGGGGAAAGCTGGCATTGTGTAGCCAGAGCTTCCCAATAAGACAGGAGACAGACAGCACAGTGTAGGAAAACACTCAGAGTCAGGAGACCTGGGTTCTAATCCTGACATGACCACTCAATTCCAGGGTAAACTGGTCTCATTTTACTCCTCTGAAAAATGGGAATAATACAAAGAGCTCTCACATGAGTCTAATGAAATAGTATGTGTGAAAGCCATATTGCTTATCTTGCCTCCTGCACAGAATAACTGCTTTTCTGTAGCTTCAACCTCAACGTAGAGAAAACATACACATTACTTTTTATCTCAAAAAGAAAATAGTAGAATATGATTTATTTCCAGTTTTTGGTATAGGAATGGGCTTAATGGAATTTTGCACATAATGCTTATACAGTAAAAGTAGAAACTGCAAAAGTGGAAACCTGTCAGAGACGGAAAACACAAATATCTTCCACTAAACAGGGAGTGAGAAAAAAATGGTGGTTGCACCCTGTAATGGTAGTAAATTTGCAAGACCTAGAAAAACAAGGCAGTCCCATTGAGCTCTGGCTCTCACAGGTTTCACTGTATAAAAGAAAGGTACTGACCATATGTTATTATCACTACAGATGTCTGTCAATTCATTTTTTATTGCTATTAGTACTTAAGTTTTCTATGATGACCTCCCAGACCCTTTGATCACACAAGGTTTGCATCAGCACTTTAGTTATTGTACACAGTTGCATTTAGCTGATGTGAACAGGAAAAATCAGGATGGGCCTGTTTCTGGGCAAGTGAGGTTTCTTCAATGCAAGGGGAAGTGGGACCTGATCAGGGTCCCTAGAACCCCTGCTCCTCCTGTCCTGAAGGAAGAACAGGACACCCCAAGCTGGCAGTGTGTGGACAGAAACATTCCACTGGGTAAGTTGAGATAGTGAAGAGAAGATGGTGCCATCTGTCTGTTTGTGTGTGTATAGCAGGTGCAGTGAATTGCTTGATGTGGCCCTTCTAGCCATTGTCCTCCATTCTGTGATGTTTTATAAATCCCATTATCCATGCCTATGTGGGGTGGTGTGGTAGTTAAGATCAGGTATCAACTTGGCTGGGCAGCTGGTAGTAGTCATTCCCTATAATGACTGGCAATGACTCTGTGATGGGATTTAGGTTAATTCTGTTGGGGCAACACAGGTGGAATGTATCTTGAGTCCTGCCTTGCTGGAGGGTATAATTCAAATCACCACCCTTAGCTTCCCTGAGGGTATACCTACGAATCTCCTGGGAAGATTCGTTCTCCTCTTGCTCTGGCTTTGTGTCTTGGATCATCCTCATCTCACCCCTGGATTTGGGACAGCAGCTGTCATCTGATCTGCTGATCGAGGTTCATCCAACCCCGAGAGTTGGGAGGATCTGCCAGACCTACTCACGGACCTGGGACTCGCCAGCCTGCCAGCCTCCACCACTACTATGTGAGACTAACCCTTGGGTGTCTGTGAGGCATTACAGTGAAATACAGAACCCTAAGACTGGGGAAATTACTGGGAGGAGGAGGAGGAGTTAATGTCTGAAATGATGGAGTGGCATGGTAGTTTGGACATTTGGGACATCTTTGATCTGCCTCATGGGGACTGGCCTCGTGCTGATATTTGTTAAGAGAAATTGTTCAAGCAGCAGGCCAGGCTGAGGGCACACACTTATGAGGACCTGAAGTGGGGCTGTCCTGGTGGGTGGCAGCATACGTAGTCTGTGAATAGGAGCAGGTGGGTCAGAGATACACAATCAGCTGCTGCTGTTTAAGCCCAAGAGTCTAGCTGACCAAAATACAGTGAGGTCTACCTCATCATTCCTAAGGGATTCCTTAGTAACACACAACCAACTGCTGCTGAAACAACTCTAACTCATGGCAACTCCATGTGTGTCAGAGTAGAACTGAGTGCCACAGGGTTTTTTTTTTTTTTTTTTAATTGTATTTATTTTGTTTTTGCTGTTGAGGATATATACACCAAACCAGACACCAATTCAACAGTTTCTACCTGTACAATTTAGGGACACTGATTACATTCTTCAGGTTGTGCAACCATTCTCATCCTCTTTTTCTGAGTTGTTCTTTCCCCATTAATATAAACTCACTGCCCCCTAAGGTTCCTATCTAATCTTTCAAGTTGCTGTTTTCACCTTGATCTAGTAGAGATGGAATATTTTCAGGGGCTGATTTTTCAGAAATAGAAGCCAGGCCTTTCTTCTGAGGCACCTCTGGGTGGACTAGGGCCTGGCACCTTTCAGCAAGCAGCTGAGCACATTAAGCATTTGCACCACCCAGGAACTGCTACCTTAATAATATAGTGAGTTTGATTTCTAACTGTAGAAATGAAGTAATGAAAGTAAGAAAAATTATTACTGTTTAGGGGCTGCTGCCTATGTGCTCTGGTGGTGTAGTGCCTAAGGCATTAGACTGCTAACCAGAAGGCTGACAGTTCAAACCCACCAGCCACTCCTCGGAAGAAAGGTTGGGCAATCTCCTTCCATAGAGATATCACCTTGGAAACCCAAGGAGAGGATGCTACTAGTAAGATGATTTGACTCGATGGCAGTGAGGTGTTTTTTTTTTTTTTTTCCTATGTGCTAAGTAGCATATATTCATTTTTCCCCCTGTAGGGCTTAGTACAGTTTGTCAGAATGAACTAAAATATGTAGCCTGTCACTGAACTGCACAGTACATGTACAGATTGTTGAAATGTCAAGTGTATGTTTACCACAATAAAAAGTTATATTATAAATGCAGCCTGTGGGCATTTTTGTTTTCCCTTAATTGGTCTCTGTGAAAGCCTCCCTCTATAGTCTTCAAGATGCTTATGTGTATATTTACTTCCCTCTCTCACCACTCCCTACCCAATCACACACAAACACCCTCTCTCAGTCTCTCTCTCTCCTGCCCTTTAGGAAACTTTGTGCTGTCCAGTTGGGCAGGTGAGTCCACTACAGGTGGTTAACCATGGTGTAACCATTGCCGTGGGAGATCGGCACTGACCTGCACATGTGCAGAACGTCTATGTGGAGTGGGCTGGTACTGCTCAGGACTCACCCAGACGGTGGTGGCAGCTTGAGGGCCTCCTGGGGAAGCTGTGGCCCCCTCATTGGCTGCCTTCACAACGCAGCTCTGGGGCTGTGGGCACTCTCGGTCTTCTTCCACTTGCTTCTCGCTTTTGTTCTTCTGCTTCCTTATGATCTAGGGAGGGGGCAAGTGACACAAGGGGCAAGTTATTCAAGAGGTCTCATGGTGCTGTGTGAAATAATGGAGACCATTTCTGGGATTTTTCCCCTTCAGAGTTCGGTTTAGTTTCCACAGGTTACCAGCCTGTTACAGATGATAAAACAATTCAACCACAGCCTCAAACGTTTCTAGAATACTTTTTCTCTTGTTGACATTAGTTGATCTGAGTCAATTCTGACTCATGGCAACCACATGTATGTAGCGTAGAACTGCTCCATAGCATAGATTTTCCAAGGCTGCTCATTTCAGAAGCAGATCACCAGGCCTGCCTTCTAAGGTGCTTCTGGGTGGGTTTCAGTGGTCAACCTTCAGGCCAGTAGCTAAGCACTTAACTATTTGTTCCACCCAGAGCTTCCTCCAAAGCACTTTACAGTTTGCAATAATCCACACTTCTATTTATTAAGTGCTTGCCACATGTCAGACTCTGTTCTAGGCACTGTATATTCTTTACCTCATTTAGTCCTCAAGACAATTCCAAGAATTAGCTGCTACAGTTCTCCTCATTTTACAACAGAAGAGCAGGTGCACAGAGGTTAAGATACTAGAATTTACTGAATGGCAATGGGTTTGGGTTGACAATGCTTGTAAATGTTAGGCCTGGATCTCAAACCCAGAGTCTCTGGCTCTTAAATCCTGACTCTAGGAAGTGCCTGGAAACCAAGTGTCATCAGGGACATTAAACTTGTTCATACCACTTGCGATATTGAGTGTGGACATTTTCTCAAGTCTCTGGACTCCCAAGTTCCTATAGGCAGAAAGCAGTTGAGATGCTGAGCCACCAGGAAGAACATATGCTTCAGGGCTCTTTTAGACCAGATAGGAGGATGAAAAGGCAGGGCGAGAACCAAGCAGAGCACCGACAGGAGGTGCCTGCCCAGGAAAAGGGCTAAGGCCTCATCAAGGCACGTCCCCACCTTCACAGCAGGGACATGGCACATTTGCCCAAAGGGACTTCAGGACTACCACAAGCCAGTGACTGCCTCTGCCTTCTATTCTTCCCCATTGCAGGTGGGTGGGTTTTGTGCTCTTTTCCTGTCCCTATATGGTATATATGGGAACAGACAATTTGTGTGTCTAGTTCACAGGTCTCCAGTTGAAGGTGAGCTCCATCTGGAGCGAGTGCACTTTGAACTGTGATTAGATACATGGGGGTTTTGGATGGGGTGAATGTACTTGGCATGTGGAAGGGCTGTGAATTATTTTGACGAAAGGGATTCTTGTGGTAGACAGAATTAAGGGCCCCACTTATTCAAAACACTATGTGTCCAGCCTTTGCCATGTGAGTTTGTAGTCCTGCCCAACACAGGGACAGCATCCTCTCTTACCCCTTGGCTTTGAGCTTGATCATGTGGTTTGCTTTGGCCAATGAAATGTGAGGGAGTGCATAACTGTGTCAGGGTGGAGACTAGGCCTTAAGAGGCAGCATTTGCTCCCTCCTGCTTCTTCCATGACAGAATATCTGACACACCCCCAGTGAGGCCCAAACTGAACCTATTGCATTACTCTTGATCCCAACCATAGCTCAAAGCAGAGCCATCTACCAGGTCCCAGACTAGATCAGCTGCATAGATGCATGGGCAAAAAAAGAAAAAAATGATCTTTGTATAAAGCCTCGGAGTTTTGGGGTGACTGGTTACTCAGCAGTGATGAATTGATATACTATTTGTTAAAGGGACATCTTGGGGCATGGAGGTAGAGGAATGACTGCCAAGCCTCTTCAGTAAGAGACTGCTTAGGACGTATGGGTAGGGAATACTACCCAACAGATGTCTGTGTGCATGAACACATGTACATGCACCCCCCATGCCCCGGTGGTCTAGGGAACAGGAGGCCCATGAGTAGCCAGCCAAGTTGGTGCTAAGCTCCTGGCTCCACATCTACTAGCTCGATCCCTAAAGGCAGTCAGTTAATATTTCTGAGAATGTCCCCAGAACACAAAAGGCAAAAAGGACAAGGCATAGAAGGAATGATGCCTGAGAACTTCCCCATGTTTGCTCTTTAGCTCTTCTGGAACAGGGTGGTAAACCAGGTAACCTACTTTCTGCAGGATAGTTGTGGCCAATTCTTCTGTTAGCTCCTCCTTGTGGTCCCGCAGGTAACTGGCCTCATTCTGTTTATCCTGTAGAGGGAACAGAATGGCAGCATGCTGTGGGTGGGTGGGTCAGGGGAGACTCAGTGATCACTTTCTCAGAACCAATCATGTTCTCCTGACCACAAATGCAGGCGTAGAAGGGCACTGCTCTATTCAACCATGGCTGTTGTGACAATGACTTCCCTACAACTCGCACTGTCTCTCGGCAGCGGGACCCTGACCCTCATCCCCCCAGAGAGGAGAAGGGGAGGGTCATACCAGGCTGTCCCCATAGGCTTCTGCTTTGCAAATTGCTTCTTCAATGGCTTCTTCAGCCACTCGTAAGGCAACAGCCAAGGTGTCCATCATGCTATGTCCTAGACAAGAAACAGAACACAGGTCACTTTCTGAAAGGAAATGACAAGTAAAATGACTGCTCCACATTAAGCTCTTCTGCTTTTATCCCTCAGTGACTCCAGGATAAATTCCAAGCTGTGTACCCTGACACACAAACCCTCCTCACCTGTCTCACTGCATCCCACTTGTCATTCATCCCCCATGCCCAGCCACAGCAAGTTACTTGCAATTCTTTGAGAGCTAGCATCTCTAATCATGACTCTTGTTACCTAGTGGGTCTCTGGGACCCCAACACTTGACCCAAGGATTCCTCCTCTGAAAAACTTTCTCTGATCTGCTCCCCCACCTTGTTCCCAACCTTTCCACCCATGGCTTGATGCTCACTTAATATACTCCCGTAGCTAATGAGCTTGCTCACATAGGAACCAGATGGGCTCTATCTCCTTTCCCTGCCCCACAGGAAATTCTCAGGGAGCAAGACTCAATCATATTCATCATTATATCCTAACCCCAAGCACAGCACCAGGTACCCAGATGACCGAACAAAAGAACTTTTAACATTCTTCATCTACTCTCTCAGATTTTTTTTTTTAAATTGTGATTTGGGTGAAAATTTACAGAGCAAATTCACTTTCCATACAGCAGGTCACATACACTTTGTCTCATGACATTGACTACAATTTACCACAATGCAACAGCTCCCCTTCCACTTCCTCCCCATAGCTACCTCTTCCCTGTGTCCATCCCTCCATACACTCCTGTCCCCTGAGCTGTGTCTCTGTGCATAAACAGCCCTTCTTTCTCCCATGATTGTCCTCTCCAAGGAGTGTATCTACCTCAGGTAAATGTTCAACTCATATACCTGTCTTTTGCTTGGCTGGAAGCCACAGGTGCGGGTTCAATTCCAGACCTGAAGGGCAGCTAGGAGCCATAGTCTCAGTGGTTCCCCCAGGCTCTATCGGACCAGCAAACCTGCCCCGCCCCCCCTTTTACTCCAAATGATTTTGAGTTTTGTTCCACATTGTTCTCCCTCTCTAGCCAGGATCTCCTACACAGATCCCCTTCCAAGTGGTTGACAGTGGTAGCCAGGCACCATCTACTTCTTGTGGTCTCATAGTCATAAAGGCTG